AAGATGGCCTCCAAGCATCCAGCGGCTCTCTGGATCTCTCTGGCCCGCGAGCCAAGCACGGTGGCGGGATGGGCCGCAGGCCACTAGCACAGGATGGGAACGGAACGGAACGAGACGATTGCGATCCTATGCACTGGTTATTGTGGGGCAGTGCCCGTCGATCTGGCGAAGAGAATATGTAAGGATCTTCGAATTCGACACCAGGGGCGATATCGAAGGACCTGCGACCTCGCTGGGGCGATCTCGAAGAACCTGCGACGGGATCAGACGCTGCTGCAATGACAAGAGATTGAGTAGCAGGAGAAGAAGAAGAGTTGCATTGCGCTGGCTTGGATCGGATCGGATCGGATCGCGCTGCGCCACGCCGAACTCTGCGACACGCTTCAGTGAACGACACCGGGGTGCGAGGTGCCGGACACTTCCCCCGCCCTCCTTCCCATTTTCCCTCCGCCTCCCATCCGCCATGCCTCCACTGACCTCCCCGCCGCCTCGCCCCCGCGCCGAAGAGAACAGAGCTCCTCGGAGTCGGCCGCGAGCACACTCCTCAGCGGCGCGGACTGCCCCTTCAGGACCTGTGGCGGGGCACCCTCCCCCACACCGCGTCAATTCTGAACCCATGCTCGCTTCCGCTCCTGCGGTCACTCTCGTCCCTCATCACGTCGCATCCCTCCCCGAAGCTTCCTTCAATTCCCTTGCTTCCATGCCTTCTCTCCTCCTCCTTCTCCTCTCCCTCCATCTCCTCCATGCTGTCCCTCCCCCTCCATCCCGCATCCCTCCCCTTCGAACATACCCCCTCCTCGCACCAACAGACATATCGGCAGGGCGGCTCCTTCTCAAGGCTGGGCCCCCGCTGCAGATCTCCTCAAAAGCAGAAACCTGCTGGCCCCCATTGCGGGGGCCACGGGGCTGCAAGGGTCAGACTTCGCAGCGTACAGCTGGACCCAGGGCAGAAGAACCTCCTCCAAGAGCACGAGACCCCCCGCCAGCCAAAACTAACAGAACATCCAAGGGTACCCTCCCCAGGATGCACAAAAACATCCAACAGGCACCAAGAACAGTACACATCGGTCGGAAGAAGTAGGTATAAACATGAAGTAGGAAGGCGGATATAGTGGATTGGGTCAAGGCCCTCCCAGATAATAACAAAACACAGCAAAGTATGTCGATTCTTGAAGTAGGAAGGCGCTTGAAGTAGATTGGGATGTGGGGATCCAAAAATACATACTTTCAACGACCGGCGTGTAGGGTGCCCTCCCCGAACCGATCTCGATCTCATGCCCCGGTCCGTTCGTGGCTCTTCAGATGCTGCCCGGAATGATGAGCTGAAGAGAGCTCGTCCCCGTCACCACGGGGTTTTCGCCCGACGCGCCCTCGACTTGCGTGGACCTACCTCTTTGCACCCCTTCTGGCCAGGAGATGCCCGGAAGAGGAGGAAGAGGAGGATGGGGGAGGGGGAGGGGGAGGGGGAGGGGGAGGAGGAGGAGGAGGAGGAGGATTTCAACATCAACCGCGGAGAGGGGGATGCCTCCAGGATGAAACAGCACTTGGCGGAAACATCGCCTGGGGCAAAGGACCTGGGCGGTGGCCTACCGAAACGCAGGGCACCCCAGGACCACAGGCTCAGTCGGAGTCGCCAGACTCAGCTGACCTTGCACGAGCAGCTCCAGGGGCAGACGGGTCCTCGTCCACCGTAGGGAGCGGCTCGACGGGCTCCACCGACCCCGCCGCATTGGGAGGGGTGGAGGAGGAGGAAAAAAGTCCCAGGCCACCAGGCGGTCCAGCCTGTCCCGCCCCCCACCCGTCACACTCACGAGCCGACGGCGGGACGACCATGACCAGGTCCAAACAACACCCTATCCCTAAGATCAGCGGGTCCCTGCCCGTACGCCGCACCGAAGGCCACGCCCTACAGGGCGGGCCCGTCCTGCCTGAGCAGCGTCGCTTGGGCCACGTACCAAAAGCGGAATAGGGAAGGGAGGAGGAGGAGAAGGGAGGGGGGAGGGAGAGGGAGGGGGATAGGGACAGGAGAGAGGGAGAAGGGGAGAAGGGAAGGAAAGGGGAGAAGGGGGGAAGGGGTTGGAGGGAGAAAGGCGGGGGGAAGGCAGTGAAGGGTGGACGGGGCGGCAGGAAGGAGGTGGGGAGACGCCGTCCATGACGGTGGTCGTGTTTTTTTGTTTTTTTTGCTCCTCTCCAGCAGCGGCCCTGACTTTGGCAGGGGCATTCGTCTTGGTCGGCGCCGTGCTCGCCCGCGTCCTCGTCGTCGCAGTCGTCGTCCTACGTCCGACGCCGTCGTAGTCGTCGTCATCGTCGTCGTGGTTGTCGTCGCCGTTCTCCTCCTCCCTCCCCCCCGTCGTCGTCGTTCTTCTCCTCCCTCGCCCCGTGTCGTTATTATCGTCGTCGTTCTCCTCCTCCCTCGCCCCCGTCCCCTACCCATCCATCCCATCCCCCATATCCTCATTATTAGTTTCCTCGTCGTCGCCGCCGTCGTCGACGTCGTCGACGTCGACGACGGCGTCGGCGTCGTCGACGACGACGTCGATATCGAAGTCTGTCGGCGACGTCATGTTCGTAGGCGCTGGCGTCGCCGACGACGGCGTCAACGACGTCGTCGTCTTCGTCGCCCTCGTCACGTGCACCACGTAATTGTATCATTCGTCGTTGTCGTCCCCGTCGCCGCCGTGACATCGGCAGGCGATGACATCGTGACAGTCGTCGCCGTCATGGTACCATCGTTGTCAGCGTCATCGTCGCCCGAGTCGTAGTCACGTCGCCGTCGTTGTCGCAGTCGTCGTCGCCAGCCTACTGGCGACCGCGCGGCTTGGCGCCGCAAACCCTCATGCAGCGAAGGGGGGAGGATTGGAAGGGTGGAGTTGCTATACATGCCCCCTCTGCCCTCCCCCTCCCAACCCCAACTATCCGTTCCTACTCCTCCCTACTCCTCCGCTACCCTCGAATGCCAATTATTCTCCTCCCCGCCTTCCTTCACCAATTCCTCTCCTCATCGGGGAGTGGAGGAGAGGGAGTGGAGGAATAGAACACGATCTACAAGAAATGAAAATGATAGGAAAGCACTGTAAAATACAGTAAATGCCAAGCCACGCTGGTCGCACACATATCAACATAATTCTGGCGAAGCTCTGATCTCAACAAATTTGCTTATGGAATCGCAGCTGGCCCATCGTCGAACAAGCCAGCGATCGGGCACTGGTCTACACCAGTGCCCTGCATAGTCAAGCATTTTGACCACAGGTCGCGCAGCACCATGAGGAGGCTCTCGCGGTGGCCGTAGAGCTGCCACGATGCGCCGAACCTGCTGAACGGCTTCAGGTGGCCGTTCCACGCGCCTTGCACATTCGACCGCCGCACGTGTGCCACAGGAGGCACGAGGTGGCGAATTTCGCATTGGGCGATGTCGCCCTCGGGGATCCTACGCGGGGGTCCGTGGCCAGCCCCGCCAGCGGGCTTGCCCTTGCCTTTGCCCTTGCCCTTGCCTTTGCGCTTGTGGGCTGGCGCAGGCGGTGCCCATGTCTCAGCCCGCCGCTTCTGTCAATCCTTGGTGTAGTCATCGCGCTCGGCAATGACCCTCTTGTGCGCATCCGCAGTCTTCGTCCAGTTGTCGCAAGTTGGCGCCCTCGACGCGCATGAACGTCTCCAGGGCTGCGTTCTGATTCGATACCGACTCCACCACCCTGATGGCCATGATCTTCAGCAGCTTTTCCTCGTTGATGGGCGCGTCTGGCTTGCCGAGGTTGTACTTGATGAGCGCCTCCAGGATCTCGTACAAACTGTTCCCCTCGGCCGCGACCCCTTGATACTTCATCAATCTGGTCAGCTGCGTCTTGTTCAGGCCGAGGAAGCACGCGCGAGCAGCAACCGCAAGGAGAGGCGCAGCACGTCCTGTCACTCGGAGCCTGCCGCCGAGCCCACCCGGCAGCTCCCTGGGCAGCTGCTCTCCAAGAAGAAGGCACTGCGAGAATACCGGACACCATTCGACAGGGATCGCTTCCCAGTTGCTCGGGTCAACAACAGCGTGGAGCAACTCATCAATACTCACAACATCCAAGGACAACTGCATAAACACAACATCTGCATTTACTACCGCGTGCTCCTTGAGAGGCCAAGCAACCCCAGCGCTGCGGGAGAAGTGCGCCAGAGGCAACATCCATGGCGTAGTGGCGCCTGCCAGCGTGCACCTGACAGCGAACTTAGACGTCGTCATGAACATCTCGCCGTGCCAAGCGTGCTGGCTCTTGTCGAGGCAGCCGATGGACAAGTACGACGGACGATAAGCATCAGCAGGCACCTTGAAGTCGCGCTGGCAATTGAACATCGGGAAAGTCAACTCCTTGTAGCCGTGCTTCTTGGACGCCACCTTCTTGTCGAACAACGTGTGGAACGCAGTCTCGATTGTGCCATTCCTGTTCTTATGATGGGCGTTGTTCTTCTGGTCATTGAACCCGTCCTCCACGATCTGCGAGCCGATGCACCTGCTATGGCACGCTTGGAACGAACGAACCCGCTCTGTGATAATGAAGTCGTCAATCTCCAAAACCCCGCACACTGGCTGCTGCGACTTCCGCTCCCAAGGGCTGCGGTCCACAAACAACTGCACGCCCTCCACATCGTTGCTCCGCTTCATCGTCGCGTAGTTCTCGTGCTCCGTCTTCATGCGGGCAACCTCGCGGCGAGCAAAGTCGGCGTCGTCCGCGAAGAAGCACGAACGCGAGTTCCAGCACTTCATCATCCACAGCGCCCTCTTGACGCGGCAGCCCACGATGCCGACGCAGGTGTGGTCGAGCGTATGCATCATGTCATTCTCTCTGGCCGCGTGGCTCTCCTGGGGCTAGTTTGCGATGTTGTGACCAGTGGGGAGAATGAAATCGAAGTCCTTGAGTTTTCTCGAAGACGAGATAAGTGAAACCGTATCTTTCAAGTGTGCAATGAATTCGCCAGCGATCTGTCTCCTCAGCCATTGCTCTGTCTTGCCAGTATCGGGAAGCTCAGCGTTGCTCGCCAAGCCACTGTGCGCACGGCTCCGAAGCACCAACTATGATCTTGTCAAGCATCGTCGTATCGGGCCCCAGCCAGTCCATCAGGGCGGCCACCACCTGGTTGGCACATGACTTCCGAAGACTCTTCTCCTCCTCTGTCTCCACACGGCTGTTGGCGGTGCGCGCGAACTCGGCGCCCGACCTCACAAGGCGGGCGAACTTCGCGTTGTCTACCATGTCCATACCCACGCAGGTCAGCAAATATCCGAACTTTCTCTGGGCGCTGCAATTCAACTCCTCTCTGATTTTCCGGATGACGGCCAAGAATCGGTTCTTCAACGTCTTGCCCCCCCTGGCGGTGGACGCGTCGGATTCCTTCAGGTTCCACAACGCACCTGCAGGTTCAGGGGCGTCCGCGAACTCTCGCCCAGCAGGCTCTGCCAACATATCGTCGACGAAGTCCTGGAAGGACACGTTGGTCGAGGCTGTCGTCGTAGCGAAGGCTTCCTTCAGTGCTCCAGTGACTTGGCCCCGCCGTAAGTTCTCGTCCCACGGCGATACTGGCACGTTAATCCCCCGCAAAGACATAGATATATGGCACCCCGGGCCAGCTGCTTCGATTCCACCGTAAATATCGTTGTGGACCCCGTGGCTGAAGTCACATGATGGGTCCACGTTGATCCCCGTGTGAAGCCAGTGGGGGATGCCTGCCACCCCGTCGCTGCCCTGGTCAGGGCTGATCGACAGACGGGGCCACTTGGCAACGTTGTCTCGATCCTTGGGGTCAGCAGGAACATGAAAATGAAGAAGACCTTTGTCAAGAAACCGTTTCATCGAATTGTGCTCGCAACATGTGAATTGGTAAGCAGCCTTCCGATACCGCTTGGGCGGTTGCCAACTACCTGAGTTCGAGCCCTCTCTCTTCCTCTTGAGCCATGCCATTTGCCTCGCAGCCTGCGCTTTCAGCGCAACCTTCTTGCCCTCCTCGCCGCCGATGATCTCTGCCATCGAGGCCTCCCCCATGAAGTCGCCAGGGTCCTGGGCTGCCCCCCCTCTCACTCTCTCTCACCCCCTCTCCTACTCCTCCTGAGCTGCTCCCCCCTCCGCTCTCCTCCTCCCTGCGGGCGCTCGGCGTGGCGCCGACGCCCATAGAGCGAGACCCAGGAATTCCCAATGCTAATCTTAGGGGCGCGAATCTTGGGGATGGGGGGGTGTCTCGAGCGGGGACCCCCTCCCCCCCCCAAAGATTGATCTTAGGGGGGGGTCCCCACTCGAGACACCCCCCCATCCCCAAGATTCGCACCCCTAAGATTCGCATTCGCGATCCATAGTGAGATTCCACACGGGACACCAGCTGAAGTTCGAGAGGGGGCGTGAGCGCGAGACCCCAGTCCTGAGGTATGCCCCAGAAGCCGACGTTGTTCGGCATGGCGAAGAAGGTGTTCAAGATGCCGAAGTTGTGCACGCGCGACTTGTCGGGCGCGTGGGAGATGAACTGCATGGAGTTCGACTTATTCAAGGACTCCGCGGCCTTGACGTAGAGGGCGCACTGCATCGCCTTCGAGTCGCCGTGGTCGTTCGCCTCAAGCTCCATGCAGCTGCCCGTGCCGTTGCTCTCCTTCACGAGGCCAGTGATGCGCATGTCAAGCAAGTCACCGAATCGCCACATCACTTGCAGAGAAAAGATCGGTCGGACCCTGTACTGCGGCACGCCCAGCATGATCCACCTGAAAAATGATCCCAGGAGGCTTGGTTCTCCCTGAACTTATTCAGGAATGCCTTAGCACCTCGATTCAAAGTGTTCGTCTCGCCGATCACGAAGAGGGTCACGGTCCCGTCCGTACTGATATTTACCATGAGCCTTCTGGCTGATCCGATTATCAAGCCACTGCTGGTCCGCTCGACGTACGACGTGAATAAACTAAACGCAACACGTCCACCAACGTAGATTTCCATTAAAAACCTGGCCAAGATTTCTGCTGATGAGTCCTTCTCGGTCTCATTCGCGAAGCCCCCCCCCCTGCTTATTTGCAAACGACCACCGAACGAGGAGGTAGAGCAACGACGTCGCGCTGGCTGCTTTCTCCTTCGGCGCCCTGTTGTCAACCGCGTCGGACCCACGTACTTCCGTCTGGTCGTAAGCCACTGAGTTGCACAGACGGCCGAGCTCCGCGCGCTTAAGCGCAGCGTTCCATCCTGGGAATTGGTGGCCCAAAAAACTCTTGACATGCAATTTCCAATGGGCCCCGATGGCAAGCATCACCGACGGCAAACTGAAGAACACGAAGTTGCCGTCCCGCCTGAGCTCGTAGATCGAGATGTCCAGCGGGTCGGCGGCTGCCGTAGCCCAGCTCTTCACGTTCAACGTGAAAGACGCCGCGCTCGCGAGAGCTTCGTCGAGAGAGCGGGTGATAGCGAGGTCGCCAGTCGTAGTCTGCAGCACGGTCTCCCCGTCGGACTCCCCGATGTAGACGACGTTGTTCAGCAAGTCGACGGCGTCGAGCTTCCTTCCGCCACCGGTCGCCTCCACCAGCTCGGCGTCCCAGCCGCCCACGTCCAGCGCCCGCTCCGTCTCCGCGCGCGGCAGCTCTATCCTGTCGAACGTGTCGAGCTGCACAAGTTCGTACATCATGGACTCGCTGTTGAAGCGCACCTGGAGCTTACCCTCAAAACTTCGCAACTGAAAGGCGTCGGAACCCGTGCCGCCGTCAGTGGGCGCAGCGGGGGGCTCCGCAGGAGGTGGTAAAGGAGGTGGCGGTGCTGGATCCTCTGGGATGTGGATCTGCTCTGGCTGGATGGCGCTCTCCAGCGCAATGAACACAGCCGCCTCTCCAGGTGGGCCAACGGGCGCGGCGCCCCCTGAACCTGCTGCCGTGGTGGAGTGCATCGTGGGGATGTCCGCGCCGCTCTCGATCTGCTCCACGGCCGCGCGCGTCACCTCGAGTGGAATCGCCGTGCCTTTGACGACCAAGGGTGTTCCCGAAGCGATGCGGCGCTTGAATTCCTCCAGCATGGCGGGCTTGGTGTTGCACAGGCGGGCGATGGGGGCCAGCTGGCCAGCCTCGCCAACTAAAGGCAGTGGCACTGCGTCGGCGGCCATGCCGCCCAAGGAGCTCCAGTAGTTCACACTGGTCTGTCTCCAGAAACAACTTCGAGATGGCTTCAGCCAAAACGGCTATGTGCAACGGGGGCGCTGAGGAGGCGGAAGAGCAAGTTGAGGATCGCTCAACAGTGCCAACGTTGACGGGGTGCTAGCGACGAGGAGGAGGATGAGGGGGAGCCTCGCGCGCGCAGATCGGGGGGCCCTGGACCTTCGAAGCGAAGGTGACCGCTGCCGCCGCGTGGGCGGGGGGGGGGGAACGCCGAGGCGGCGTCGCGTGGGGAGGGGGCTTCTGGATGCTGTTGCTTCTGATCCTCAACCTCTCCTTGAGGTTCCAGCCGACCACGGGGGAGGATGGAGCGGGGAGGGTTCGGGCGATCGGTCGATCGGACCCTAGTGGGGCCCTCGTTTGCATCTCCAAGGGCTCGCCAGACGCCGAAACCTCCAACTGACGAACTCGTCGACGTCATGATCATCATTCGCTCCTCCCTCCTGCTCCCCTGTCTCTATCTCCCGTCACCCCCTGTCTCCTCCGATCCCCCCCTCCCCCTTCCCCTATCCTTCCCTGCCAACTGCCCCCGACTACGGCGGCCAACATCCCTTCGATTCGGCGCATGCTCTCGAAAGTCCTGGGAAGCCTGCGACGGGAAGGGGGCGAGGATGAGGCGAGCAAGATGAGAAAAACATACTCTCGGCAACTCTACGCGTGCAAGCCTGGCGAAGTGTGCACGCGCAAGCGTCCGTGCCCCAAGGGCACCTGCGCTGGCGCCACCGGCCTCGGGGGGCCCAAATCCCGAGGCAACTAGATTGCAAAGATTACGATAATGATTAATTACATGCAGAAGCTATGTTGGATACGTAAGCTGGCGCCTCACCTTGGGCGCGGCAGCACGATCAGCCCGTGCTTTCTCCGGCGCCTCGTCACGCTGGCGCTTGCTGCGAGTCTGCAAGGTCACCAGCTCGGGGGTGTCGGCGATGGCGCTGAACTTCTCCTTGGCGGTATCCAGGTTGTCAACGGCGATCTTGCACAGGCTCTGAAGATGATTACCTTTCTTGTTCAGGCGGTACTTATTAGGCCCACTCCCCGCTGGAAAGTACGAGGCTGCCTTCATAGGGTTCTCGTCCACCAGCAGGTGGGCCTCGTCGATCGACGATGCGCTGCTCAGCGGGATGCTCGGCGAGATGGTCACGTGGGCGGGGGCCAATGCGATGTCACCACTCACGTACGTGATCTTGGCCAAGCGGCCATTGTCATACATCAGGCCGTACAAAGGGAGCGCTGACCAGTCGACAGTGCCGTCGACGCCGACGCTCTTCTCGAACCAATGGGCGATGTCCAATCCAATCTCAGCCAGGCGCAACTTCATGGTGTTCACGAAGATGGTCAAATCGGTCCTGCACTCTTGCGGCACCTTATCTTTCATAGAGATTTGGAAGACGATGCCACATACATCTGCCACTGCGTGCTTATCCTTGTCGTCCATGGCGTCGAGGAGCGCCGAAGATGGACCGCGCGGCATGGCGCCCAGGATGGACGCGAGCACGGACTTGTCGAGCTTGCCGAACGTGGGCGCAGCCTGCTTGAGCGCGTCCGTGGGCGATGACCCCTGGGCCTGCTGCCTCTCAATGCACTGCTCGACGCTGTCACCTGCGAGGCCCGCTTGTATGCTATTCCACACGTCGGGCGCCGCGTCGGGGAATTTCATCATGTGGTCGATGCACTTCTGGAGGCGCAATCGAGACCGAGTTCGTCTGTTCATCTCCTGCTGGTCGTTTCTCACCTCCCGCACGTGCGGCACACTCTCAGCAAAAGAGACCAGGACGGAGCCTTTTCGCACCAGGCTTGTATAGAGAACCCCTCCAAAACGAGTCTCCTGTCACAGGCATCGCAGTCTGCGAAACACAAAAAAGAGGTACAGGGTGCTCGAAAATCGAAGCCTATAAAATCACGTGGGCCACAATTTGTCTACTGATGATGATGTTGGTGATGACGACGGATGCGGTAATGCGTGTTGAAATTGACGCGGCGACAACGATCTCACTTGCGCATTGCCCCCCCTCCCCCCTCCCCCCTGGATAATCGACCTGAGGGGATTGGAATTCTGCGTGCAAGGCGCGCCCTATGAATCGGGGGGGGGGGGGGGGGGGGGGTTCTGGGAGCAAGTGGGTCCTCCGAAACAGAACGGGTGGGGGGCAGCTCCTCTGCAACACGGTGAGGGCTAAGAGCCCCCCATCCCCGCCCCCCAACTACCTCTTCCCGACCTCTTCCCTCGCCTCCATCCTACGCCCCGTGCGGTTTATCCGTCCGTCTGCCTATCCGAGAGGATGGGGGGAGAGCCCGGGAAGCGGAGGGGGAATTTGTTGAATTGTTTTGTGCGTTGGCGGAAGAACGGCGACACGCGTTTTCCAGTTGCCCCATTGATTTACAACAAACATGCATTATAACATGGTGTAAGTAGGGCAAAACAAAACCAAACGTGTGCATTGAAAGAGCGCGCTGGTGGCAAGCAAGCAAGCAAGCAAGCAGTGGTGTGTCGCAATCAATCGGTGACGCAGATATGTGGCAATGGGGCCATTTGAACAGCGAGCGATGTCGGCCCATGCTATAGCCTCTAGAGTCCCCAATGGGCCCCCGTAGAAGTGACCCCTCGGAAATGGGAATGCAGGTCTTGGGGATAGGGTGGAGTTCGAAGGTGGTGGGACCAAGGTGGGGGGCGGCACGGGCGCCTGGTGGTGGACCACGTCATCGCGGTTGAGGGGCGGCTCCGACGACGTATCGTCGAGGCCCGTGGTGAGCGGCACTCCGCTTTTGGTGTGCCGTCCTGTCATGATGACATTCCACGCGTGCCTGCGGCCATGGTCAGATTTGTTCTGCCTGTCGGGTGGGCCAGGGCACTGCTTGCCCAGGTTCCTGACCTGGCCGCCGCACGTATAATAGAGGCATCGGGTGCAGGCAACTAAGATGCCACCACCCTGGTTCACATCGAAGAAAACAGGTTTGTGCCCGTGGTCGACTAAGCCCTGCCCCGCGAGACCCTTGATCGCGGCCGCGCCACGACATCGGCCAGGGGAGGGCTTCTGAGGATCACGAGCACAGCGGAAGCACGAGGCACAAATCCAAAACCTGCCCTCCCAGGACCAGTCGCGAGGGGGAAGAGGAGGAGGCCTCGGAGCAGAAGGGGGGGTTGGTCCAGGGGGCCTCTGAGAGAGCCAGCTTGGGCCACAGAGACATGACGCGTGCCGCCAGCTTGCACACAACGCGAGAGATGCGGGCTGCCCGCGCAGCCCGCTCAGCCTCTTCTGGGTCTGGCGACGGGTGTCTCAGGGCGGCAAGGCGGGCAGCCTGGTCAGCGCAGTCGTTCCCGAACTTATGGGCGCGCTCCTCAGGCGTGAGGTCGTCACTGTCGGGAACGCGCCCCTTCACTTTACTGACGGCGCTGGCAATCGGGCCCAGGGCCTGCAACATTAAGCCCGCGCACGGGCGGCGAACAGACAGGCGGGAGGGGTGGGGTCAAGAGCTGCGCTAACCACATTCTGGCAGTCGCTGAAAATGCGACTGACAACATCTCCACACTGGGCGGCCGTAGTAGCATACTCGGCAGCTTGTGAGGTTTGGGGGAAGTGCGCAAGCAGGGGCCCCGAGACGACACACTGCACTTCCCCCAATTCAGAAACACTAACCACCGACCACCCCGCCCTGGAGAGCTCCAGAAACACATTCCAAAAACACGAGCCGTCAACATAGAGCCTACCATTGAGAACGGTGCTGTTGTTGAAGGGCCCCCCAGTCCAAGACACCTGGATGCCAGAGCCAGGACCATGGATATCATGAGCTGTGCGAGGAAGATAGTCCCCAGGATGAACGTAGAGCCCTCGGGTGCAGACGAGGTGCTGCTCTGGGTCGCTCTCCTCTGTGAGGTCAGAAGGGGGGAACCAGGTGCGCATCTCTCCCATGGACTTCCTTACGGGTGTATTCACATGCAGGGCAGTGCCACAGGCGGTGCAAGATCGCGTCGTCCGCGATGGCACAAACATCGCAGAGAGACCACTCGCCATCTGGCATCCCGCAGCCCGAGCTCGGGCCTTACCCCAAACTGCAGCACAAGCAAGGGCTCTGATGGAGCCCTTCTCGAAGGACGTGAATTTGGACGACTGCAACATAGCATGCACCTGATCATGGCACACTCGGACATGCTGTTGAAGAGTAGGGAGCAGCTTGGCGCCTGAACGGCGCTCATGAAGGTGAATGACAGCGAACCTAAGATGTCGCTTCAATAAGGCAAGGCTCACAAGCGCGAGCGGCAACATAACTCCAAAATGGTCCTTCATTACCGTGAAGCTTGGCATGGGCCAACAAACCCGTCGCAAGCTTAGCTTCATGGCACTGATGGGGCCCGTGACCTGTTTCCAGCGATCGGGCCCAGGACCAAAGAACACAGACTCCCAAGACGACCTGAGCTCCTTCCAGGTCAAGGTATAATCAAACGTACGCATGCGGGTCCCCCAGATCTCCTTGGCGTACCTCAGGATGGGGGCAATAGGTCCATAGTAGGTAGGGCCCCTGTCAAGAACCACAGCGGAGGTGAGCGAGCGGGATCCAGCCTCGGGCCTAATACAACGACCAAAAACACGTCGGGCAATGCCCCACTCCCTGTCCGGGACCCCGTGAATCTCGCACCTGTAGTAGAACCCTGGCAGAGGCCCAGTAATAAATAGCTTCCGGGAGTGTCTACCTAAAGCTTGCCGTATAGTTTGCAGCCGTTTCGTCTTGCGCTTCAGCGTCAGCACACGAAGCAGGAAAACCTTGGAACGCTTGGGGGCCCGACGGGGCCGACCAGACGCGTGATCAACTCCAAGGTTGGCTGCAGAAGACACGACTCGCTGGCCAGCGAGAGCTCCAAGCCTTTTGCGCAGAGCAACGGCCGCGCAGCGATGAGAGGCCACAAGGTTGGCCTTCTCATGAGAGATGCCGCCACCGATGTCGTGAACGATGGCAGCGT